AAGTGACCCTGAGTCGGCCAGGAGCCGTGTTGAAGGCACCCGAAGAGGGACCAGAGGGTCTCGAGACCAAAGGTCAAGGGCGTGATTGAAAGTCTGGAGGGCCTGAAGGGCTGGCTGTAGGTCACATTAAGGACCGCCACATGTAGCATTGTGACCTAAAATGTCAACCAGAGGGTCTCTTGCACCGATTGCGGACCCGCGGTGCAGTGCGTTCCTCTACTTCGGCCGGATATCACCGACACCAAACAGTCGTCACCGGGTCGGCCCGAGCTCTCGGGGTCCACTTGCTAAACAGGGACAAGGTCGGGCCCACAGTTTGCAATGGTCGGGGTTGCTGAGGCAGTGTAGGGTCCCCTGCGTTGGTCACGTGCCCCTGCAGCGGCGTGGGCCACTGTGTCGGTCACGGGCTCGCGGTACCTGGCAGGGTGTCTTGTGTCAACAAGCTCGGAAGCAGCCAGGGCTCACATAGACGGGGACGGGACTCCGAATATCAGGGGCCTCCTGCACTGGTCGGAGTCCTCTAGCAATGAAATGAAACAAAAAACTTATGATGGGAATTCACACTGGGACAGTGGAAGGGCGCTGTATCAGTCAGGGCCCCAGTACCGAACGATGGGCCCCCCAACGCATCTTCGCAAGCGTGTATCCCAACCCGGTTCCCGCCATGGGGCCGTTAGGCCAAACTGGAGCCGGCGTACCTATGTCTAAGGTGAAAAATTGCACTTTATTACTTTGTTCGAATTCGGCATATACGAGAAGAATTAAACATAACAAAAGCGATTGGCCGTTCGGACTAGATGTAGGAAAGCTCTCTCGGACTCCTTTAAGTACTGGCGTTCAGGTCGGCACCAGGTCAGCGACTGGCCAGCTCAAAAACAATATGTATGCTTCGTAACTGTTGGCGCGGCACGCATGGACGGGTTCGACTCTGGGTGACTATGCTCATACCAGACTCCCAAGTAGGGGTGTTTACTGTGGGCCGTGTAGTGGCCCGAGTGCGCCACACCAGAATGATGTGTCACGCCGCGCAGGCTATACGTCCAGTCTCCAGGTACGTCAGGGTGAGGCGGCAGGCTTTATCCAGTGGTAGTGCGCTTGTCTTGTACTGACCCTGTTGGAGCAAGAACAGGTGCACTGCGAGCATACGTGGGATTATTTGAATCATGAATTTCATGAAGGGCTTTTGACGTTTGTGCTACATGGAGCACGTCGGGCTTCCTTCTTCATCAAGCACCTCTTCCGTAGTGAAAAGGTCAAAGCAGTCCTGCTATCGTACCTGACACGTCACGGATGGGACCAGCAGGCTCACGTTCCATAACGGATCAAACATCACGTCAGACGTCGCTTCGCGCCCTGCATGCTCATCGTGGGGACGACATGCGGCGATCAGGGATCTTGTCATGTCATTGAGTTCCTGCGTCGATCCGGACCAATTGCGCGGGTCAGAAGGCCTCCCGGATCAGGAAGGGGACCAATATGATATGATGCATACCTTTAAGGGACTCTGAAGACGCGAGGGAATCCCACCCCCGTGTCGCCAGAATGACAGCCGAAGGGCATCTCGCGCTGGGACGGAATAACCCCTCAGCCCTCGACAGGGAACGATAATATGCCCTCTGGTGTTCTGCTCATGGGACCCCTTGCCCGGAAAAATAAGGGGTCTCACCAGTGTGGAATAGCGCGGCTCGAAACGGGGTCAAGAATTAAAGAGGCCATTCCAAGCTTTGCCTGAGAATGTTCATCCTCTTGCAGAATCGATTAGTGAAATAAAGTACATCAAAAAGTTTGAGCGTGCGCGCTCGCAATCTCAGAAACAGGGCATCGATGGTTAGGTTAGGATGGTTAGAATTGCAGTTTCCGTGGAGCCGACCGCCGTTAACCGCTGTTCTTCCTCTTGGGCGCTCGCGATGTCAGGAGCAAGACCGGCGATGACCGGGGTTGCCGTTTTCGTAAAACTGAACGGCGCTGGCCACTGCAAGTAACACCAGGCGGCGGTCGCCATGCGCGCGGGAACAACTGTCGTAAAATAATGGCTCCGAATACCTTTGAAAATTAACTCACACCGTTCAAAAGTCATGCTTGGCATATCTTTTTTGGGATAATTTGCGGATTTTGAGGATGAGTTACAACATGAAAAATAGTCTACTTTTACTCTTCCAGTTTTGCTAGCAGACTACAGCCCTACTTCGCGATGTTGTAACTTCTGATCCGTTCCTGATTTTAATATAAAATGGTACAGATCAAACACCCGGAATATTTTTTAAACACACTCATTAATATCCTTAAGTGTTCAAAGGCGCTTCTTTCAGATGCGTCGTCATTTTCATTCGCCGCTTGTCACCTCTTGGTGCTCGCACCGGGACCGACGCTAAACGCCACGTCACGGAAACTGCAACGCTGGACGTCGAGATTCTTGTGGAAGATTTGCAAGTATGTTCAAAATGATATCGCACCATCTATCGCAAATCGATTCCGGCTGACTGTTGAACGTTCACAGGCAAACATGGATTGGCCATGTTGATGCAACAAATTGTGACCTATTTCGACCTACAATCAACGTTCACGGTTCATCAATATCTGTGTAGAGCCCAGATCAAAATTCCGGCAAAGCTCGAGTTATATCGGGTTAGAAGTCCACAGAACCATTGTAAAATGGCGGGCGCCAGCGGACTGATTTCATGTAATTCTTTAGCGCCCCATTTCAGTGCAATGACTTAAAAATTACAACAGAATCCATATCGCGGTGGCTTCTGGCTCCTAATCCAGTTAAAGAAGGTAACAAATAATAATTAAACAAAGCAAAAAACAGTAACTCTCACCACTAAGTTGAACGTATCTAGCAGCTTTTCTTCGGGGCAGGAGAGGTCTATCACCATCAGGGCCTTTTGATAACCCTGTGCCCCCCCCCCCCCCCCGTTGCCAAGGGCCCTGGCTGTGCCCCTGCCCGCTCTCATCCACACCAAGTAATTTATGGTGCGGGGATGTAACACGTTGGTGAGATGTGTGGCCTGGGCGTTTCCCCTCAGCATTGAACGCAGTTTTTCACCTTGACGCTATTGATTATAATCCAATAATCTAGTGATCAGGAAACCTATTTTGTGCTTGCACTGACTACAATATTTGATCAATATAACTAATAAAAAGGTAGCAGTAGCAGACTGCCACCACCAAGAACAGGCGCGGCACTGTCTGCAAAATTTCCGTGGGCGTATGTGAAATGGACTCTTGCAAGCGACCATGATATTAGCGTTTGGTCCGAACAGCAGATGAGCGAGCTCTTGCTGTTTCCTAATACCGGGAAAAAAATCAGGATGCTGCCAGCACCACCCTGCAGCGACACATGCGTGTCTGATCACGATGTAATGACAAGGACGGCGAGCGGGTATAGACCACTGAGAAGTAAATGCATTACCGACTTGCACAGACCGTCAAACCTCACGTAATTCGTGTACACTTCAGCAGTACCGAATCAAGAGTACACGGCAGATATGCAGCTCCCGCTATCAGGTGGTAAGTCAAAGAATCAGATTATAACTCAACATATGCTTTGAACATCACTCAACGGTCACATAGAAAAAGAAACAGAGGTAAAGCAGCCAAGCAGACAATAGAAGTTTCTAGCCGATGGTCTGCTCCCGGTGCCCCCACAATTCTGTGGGTTATCAGCGGCGAGCTGCGATTCTCAGCTTAACGTCTGGTCTTCAGCTAGAGGACTCTGTCGGGAGCCTGGTCCTCAACTCACGACCCATCCCCAGCATCACCCTCAATCTTAAGCTCTCAGTCCAGTCCTCAACATCTGGTCTTCAGCTAGGGCACTCAGCCGGGAACTTGTTCCTCAACTCACGACCAATCCCCAGCTTCAACCTCAATCCTCAGCTCTCAGTCCAGTCCTCAACATCTGGTCTTCAGCTAGGGCACTCAGCCAGGAACTTGTTCCTCAACTCACGACCAATCCCCAACTTCAACCTCAGTCCTCAGCTCATAATCCAGTCCTCAACTCAGCGGCCACAAAATTTGCTCAGCGTCCACTGCTAAGTTCAGGGTCTACTCTTCGACATAAGGCCCAGTCCTCATCCCAACCTTTAGCTCCAGACCCGGGACTCAGCACAGGCTCCAATCTTTTGGCTCACGTAGCTCAGCGTCCAGTGCCCAGACGTCGTTCCAGTCCTCGTGGCAGGCTCCAGCGGTCAGTTCAGAATCCTCAGCTCAGAGGCCGGTACTCGGCGGCTAGGAGTCGGCCGGCTGCTCCTGGGCTCCGTTCCCGGCAGCCAGCTGTTTATACTTCTCGTAGCGACTGATACGTTCCTTGCAGGCGGCCAGGCTGTTGACCTCGCGCTGCTTGCCCGTCTCCTTGAGCCACACCTCGAAACGGCGGCGGAGCAGCTCCTGGGGACAGCCAGCAGCCGAGCACTGTCAGCCAGACAGTGTCAGGTCCTCTGTCTGGGTGAGCTCAGCGAGAACACGAGCAATCCCGAACACACAACAGTGCGGACTTATCTTTGCATGCACCGGAAGCAGTGCATACAGCGCTGTTTTTCGGCAGCCGTAAACATACGCTTTGAAAGGTCTCAAAGCCATTAACAGCAGCATATAACATCGGTCTTACGTGGACGCTCTCCTGGGTAAACCAGCCCTCCGTGCGTGACTGCGGAGGGCTGGTTTGACTCACCTGAAACTTGGCCACCTGCTCCTTCGTGAGGTTGGCGTCGGCCACGAGCCGGTTCCATTGGTCGGTGCACTGGCGGCGCTCCTGCAGCGCGCGCTGATAGCGGTACGGCAGGCTGCCTGGTGGCCGGTGCGTGCCACCCGCCATCTCGAACGGCGTGTGGAACGGAAAGAAGGCGGCCGGCTCTATCAGGCGCCAGCAGGGCGGCGCATCCAGCGAACCGTCCACGGCCACGCACAGCGGCTGGTCCCCAGAAGTTGGGCACCACGCCCAGGCCTGACTGGCGCATCTGCTCCTCCAGCTGGCCGTAGTGCGTGTGGTACGGCGGCCAGCGTCAGCGAGTCGTTGCGATTTCCTGCGATCAGAGGTCGCACCGGGGTCGTGATGTGGAGCGTGCAGCCGACGCTGTCGCTGACCACCAGCCGGCGGCAGACAACAACGAGTCGCACGCCGCGGCAGCCGGTCAGCTGGACTGTGCCCAACACCGGCCCCAGCACCACAGTCGTCTCATGGCACTTGTCGATCGACACGTTGCGCAGCGGGCTGAGGAAGTAGAGGAACGCCTGGTGGCAGCGGTGCAGCTTGAGCGTTGCGCAACAGAGCGTCGGCGACATGCGCGCCACCGTCTCCTTGTAGATGGCCGAGGTGACGATCAGCTTGTCCGCGGGCGGCGCCAGGTGCGCGTTGGTGGCCATCTTGCCGCGCTTGTGGTCGGCGCGCCGGTCGGCTGACGCGCTGCTCGGCCACGACAGCCGGCGGCCTGACGACACGCAGGCGGCGACCCCTGCCGGCAGCGGCGGCTCCTGAACACGACGGCGCACTGCAGACCGGCCGCCAGCCAATGCTGGAAGCTTTCAATGATTTCAGCGCCGGTGAAATGAAGGAAGAGCAAACAGCCTACACAGAAGGGCAAGCAGCGAATAAAGTCCATCGAAGAGCGTTGCGAACAGGTATTTCCCCGACAAAACGAAACAACATTGACACGAGCAGCTGAAACTTGATAGCTTTTCCTGCAAAGCATGCCATGCAAATGCTCCTTCCTTGCAGACTGCGATGACGTTCAAAATGTGTGTAACATACCGTAAGGGTTTGGCCCGAGGGACGCCGTGATCCAGCGCAGCAAACGCGACTGCTGGAAGGCGTCAGCTGTAGCCACGTACCCAGTCTGAAAACAAGCCACCAAGCGCCTATAAGATCATTGGATATTAATCTTTCCTACCACACACCCATTCTTGCTTTACTCTACAAGCGTAAGGTGTTCCCTGTCTGTCTGTATGTATGTCGTCTTGTTTGTTGAGCCCGTCTGCACCCGGTCGCTGAACGGTAAAATTTGGAGACGACGCGCAGGCGCTCGGGGTGGTTTTCCACGGGGTAGCTCGCGAGCCGCCACGGCCTGAGGTTGGCGTAGCACGTGCCAAAGGGACCGTTTTGACCCATTGGTTTTGTACGTACGGCCCGAAAGTGTGCGGACGACAAACCCGACGAAGCAGTTGTTGAAAACGTGACCACCTCTCTGCTACCAGGGGTCGGAGCAACAAGAGTTTGACAAAGCCTCGGTAGACAATTGAACGGATAATAGCGTGGTGCCAGACGTGCGGTCGCACGTGTCCACATGTCACGTGCAGTAGAAGTGGTCAGGATGGGTTTGGCCGATTTCAGTTTTTTACGCTGCTTACGTTATCTTGGCAGCCACAGTCCGATTTCAAAGTGTCGACCGTCGTACCGACGTCCACTCATGAGGCCAACACGAATTTATGCGGCGCACAGTTTGCGCCAGTAATCGTTGGACAAGCCGAGAATATCGGCATTTCGAAAAAACGGCCGCCGAAGACAGCACGCTGCCGCCAAACCGTAGCCAAAGTCTTCGTTAAATCTGCATCAAAGATAACCCAGTAATTATAGCCTTATTCCTCGAAGAATGGAGATATAGTTGGGTTGATATTTTCGGCAACATGCCTTTATCGAAACAATAGAAGACTTTGCTATTCCGACTTCTATCGTTTCGATAAAGGCAATTTGCCGAAGTATCAACTCAACTATATCCCCATTCTCCGGGTTTTTCTCCGAGGAATATGGCTAATACTACTGTCTTATCTATGTGAATAATGTCCCTCGTTAATGCACTGAACAACTTGCGTAAATTTGCATCACTTCGTGTTCCAATTCATCGTCTATACTCACCATCCATTTATTTGTTATCCTTTGCACTGTCCCACCTATACACCAACTTTACCTAAACAGTCGCGACTACACGTTCTCACGTCGCCAAAATGTCACCGGTCGATCGCCCAGTCATCGGCGACCAGTACGCGAAGTAAGTGGTGAAACTCGGCGAATGTTCCCGGTGTGCGACAGCCGCCATTTATTCATGCCTTCATTTATTCGTTGTGGCGAGAAAGGTGAATCGTGGTGACGATCAAATGCATTACCCGAATTGCTTGCTTTGAGAGATGCCGGAGGTACCACACACATCGAATGAAAAATAATTTGCAAGTAAAGAATAATTTGCCACAGGTACGATAAGAGCACCCATCGAAATGCAGTCCCTTTTCAGTGAAGTTCACTGTTGCGGCAAAAACAGTGCTCCATTGGGTTCGCATATGTTTTGGAGTCGCTTAAGAGTCAACAGCACAGGAGCTTTGCAGCCAGCATTGGCAAGTGACAGTGGCGAAACTAGGGAGCTCTGACACTTGCATTGGTAGCATATGGGGATTATACGGAACCTTTGTAATGTATAGCAACGCTCCCAAGCGCAGTGGAAATCTGAACAGCAAGACCTTGAACGTCACTGGTAGTCAGCACACAACACCCGGTCCCCGTCCGGCATCACGGCAGTCAGAGGTGAGGTGGGCCGTGGAATCCCATGAATGGTGCTAATACATCCCGAATTAATGCAAACGCAAATCGTCCATAGAAGTTCCGCCGGTTCGCGAAGCAAGCCCGCAAGCACTTTGACTGCAAATCCTACCACAAAGACAACGCACTCGACATGACCCCATTCCTCGTAAAACAAGTCTCACCGGTGGTCCGAAATTTCTGCCAACTCTTATTTATTACCACACTTTGTGACTAATGCCTCGTCCAAGACAAACTTCCTGCGGGCGGGGGGGGGGGGGCATCTTAGTGAAAATGCCCCTGTTTTCGTTTTTCACGCTAATTTATCGGTTATCCATTTTTAGCCGTTGTTAGGAAAATTTTGAGAATAGCTGTGTGTGTTTTGGCCCCAATTTCCCGAAATTTTCTGCTCTTTGTCTAAAACACTGATGACCTTTTCAAAAAAGTTTCGGATGCATCCGGAGGCGTCCCTCCCAACCCACCCCACCCCCCTAGTGTTGGAATTTTCGCACTTGTTCGGGCATTCAACCCCGGGTAAACTTCCTCACTGGATTTGTACCATAAAGGATGAGCCTGCGTGACATTCCACAAACAAACGAATCGATCATGGCCTACACTAAGCAAAAACACACGATATGCGCATACATATCGATGCTTGTCCATGTGTAAAACTAACCATCCAACCACCCAAACCGTACAAATCCAAAACAATTGTACTAACTTCCACCCACTGCTCCCCAGCTGCCCCCGTCTCACGCTACAAAAGAAGACACTGTGCTCTGCCCATTTCTCTGCTCACTGCGGCGTGGTAGCCCATAGCGTTGCATATGCCCCATGCGTCAACGTTGCTTACGATCATTTCTCCGAGGCCGCCAGGTCAGAGTGGATTAGAGGCGTCCTCGAAAATGATAACGGTTGGCTTCCCAAGAATGGGAAATAAGAACCGAAATAAGCGTGAAAAGTCTGAACTTTCTCACCCGTCAACGCGCCGCATCTGGCCCAGGAAGAATTCGTGGGCTCTTGGCCAGGCTCTGGGCCGGATTTGGCGGGCCTTTGCGGGTTGAGCATCGTAGGTGGAAAAATTATACATTTGCTGTCAGTACTAACGTTCCAAATTAAAAACCGAGCTGTACTGCCACACAAAACAAAAAGCCATCTTTTTATTTTTCAGCAATGGGCCTAGTGAGAGAAACCCATCGCAGACACGGCACAACAGTAAGCCTATTGCACGAGCTGAACAATTGTATGCGACCATCACATCGAAAACTTCATAACAATTACACGAATTTTCTAAGCATGGCCTGATTTCAACAAGCGGTAGCCAGTTGGGCCCTTTATACAGTACGTCACACAGGGACATGCTGCCCTTTGCTGTTATTGTGACGATGTGTACTTTCTTGTGTCACACGCAAACCATGTCACAGAATCGATGTCAATGATAGATTAGCTGATCGAAAGCCCTATCCCAGCACTGCAACAAATCAAGAAATCTAATGAGCCCAACAGGTACCAAAGGCACATAATGCGTTGAACTCTTGCAATCTACCGGCCCTGAACAGATTTCGACCACATGACTCAAATTAAAATATATCCTGAAATATAAGTCCCTCGCATGACTGCTTAATGCATGGCTGTCCTCAGGAGTGGAATTCCTCAACTCAGGAATTCCAGGATCCTGGAACGAATCAGTTGTAACAACTATCTTAAAGGTGCGGGCTCCCAGTAATATTTTTGCCAACACTGCCTCCACTGCCAACACTGCCAAGTTCCCCGTCATATTTGTCAAAAACCCTAGAAAAACTTGCATTCACTTTCACGTACCTCCACATCACTAACAAACTTCCATCAGGCAGGTAGAAATTCGTCTGGAGCTTTTGCAACATTTCTTTTTTAGTGTAGCCCGTGCCAAAGCTCGGCCTTGACTGTAGCAGTGAAAGCAGTGGTCTGTGTCTCTGTCAGCCATTCATTTTTCGGTTGCGTGAGGGGGGAGGTATAATTGGTCCTAGCTCTTGTTGGCTTTGTCCACCGTCAGTCTATTTCGGTGGATCTATGTTTTCTCTAATCCAACTTTGATTCTCCATAGTCCAACGGTTCATGGCGTGTCATTTGAAACATTCGCATGGTTGCATTCTTATTGACCTTTCTATTGGGCTTGACGTTATCATTCGACTTGATTATGGCCTTAACTCATTCCAGTATTCGAGGAAAAGGTACTGTTCATATAAGCACCATCAGAAGATCACGACAGGACCATGCAGCTCTTGAGCCGCCCATTGGCTGAGGCGTTTGTCATCAACCGAATAAGGGGCTGCCAGATGTATGCAAGGCGATCAGTGACACCCATCTGAAGCGTATTGACTGAGGCGTTCGCTGTCAATCGAATAAGGAGCTACCGGATGTATGCAAGGTGATCAGCGACACCCATCTGAAGCGTATCGAACTTGGACTGTCCCGTCTTTCAAAGTGTCCCGGACGTGCAAATAAATAGCCGCCGTGGAAATGTTGACAATGATGTGGAAATCTTTAAGGGAGTGTTCCACATTTGTATGGGGTTTATAACTGAAATAGCCATCTTGAAGATCATTCGGCGCAGACCACAGCCCTGCCCTCTATAAGACCTAAAGCCCTCTAGTTTCTATCTACACGTCCGCGAAAAGATGTTCAGGTTATTTCGGTGGGACTATTTCAAAGTCATCCATGCATCCATGGCGCTAAAATAATGTCCTTCGAATTTTGTCATTTCTTTGGCCGTGCGCCGACCAGGGCCAGGAAAAATACCTGTCAAATCACACTTGCCTGGCGTTCGTGCGCACAATTTCTATATATAACGGCCATCAACTGACTCTCAATCAATGTTGTGTAAAGTCCGATACCGAAATCAAACAATGACGCGTTGAAGAGCATATCTACTAGCACACAGGCAGGCAGGCAGCCAGTCAGTTTGCACGTGAAGTTTGGGCTGGACCACTGGCCTAAGGTATCGGGGACGCGTACACTGTAGGAAGCAAATAACACCAAATATTGTTGTGTTTTACTTTTGGCCATAGCGTTCTGGGGAGGTCAGCTTAATACAATGCATAAACATGTTTGCTGTTTTCCATGCGTTGTGGCCAAAAAGATCGTTCCAAGTGTTGTGATTTTTTCCTCGTTCGAGTCAAAACTACGCTGTTCCGTCAGCCGGTCACCCGAGCCTCGTTAGGCGTCTGACCGTGGCAGGCTCGTCTATCCCACCTGGCTGGTGCGGGCGGGGTTGGAGGCGGCCGTGGCCAGCGTCACGGCTGGTCGTTCTTCCGCGGCAGACGCTGCAATGCCTTGATCGACGTCGATCAGGAAGGAGAGCGCTTCCACCACAGTCCGGCACACCATCACATCACCGCCGGCCGGGCCCAGGGGCACACCCTCCCCCAGCACCTGCGGCGCGGCACAGCCGCTGGTTAGACATGGCGCAGACAGACATCACCACCGGCCACCGCCAGCTGGGGTCAGGCGGCTCCGATTGAAGCTATGGCCGAAGAACTTCTCATACTAGGGTGCAATATGACCACTGCAGTCGGCGCGCTAAAAAAAAAACTCCAATTAACAACGATAAAAGGTATCATAATGTATGTCGATGTTTAAGGTGGCCTGTGAATGATGCAACGTTGAGGCATTACGGGCTGGTCGAAACCGATTACGATGCCACAGTTAATGCACTGCAAGGACCGCTTAGCAGTTCGATGCATGATTGCAGGTGCCCCAAGTAGCGGCGAATGGTCGCTGTGATTTCCACCCGCGCCATACCCGCACATTCCTTGGAAACTCCCCTGCAGCGCCGGACTTGGGTCCACATCCAGAGGCAGCTTTTCCAAAGCCACTAGGCATCTAGGCAGTTGATAGTCCCTGTTTGGCCGACCCGCCGGCCACCGCACCATCCCTAGAGCTCCCGACACCGCATACCGTACCGCCGACCCGGAGAGCTCACTCACGTCGACCAGCGCGCTGAGGTGCGTCTGCACAAACAACAGGTGCTGGTGCTCCTCTAGCTGCTTGTGCTGCCGGTCGCCGGCCTCGGGCGATTCGGCGCGCGCCGCCGGCCACTCGTCAGCCGTGAGTGAAGACACCGACACCAGCCGCTGCTTCTTGCCGCTGTGGCTCAGGTTCTGGTCGGCACCGGGGTGGGCAGGTGACAAGAACGTGTCAGCGACGTGCTGAGGAGGGTGCCGGGCGGTCGGCACCGGGGTGGACAGGCGGACAAGACACGTGTCAGCGGACGTGCTGAGGAGGTGTGCCGGGTGGTCGGCACCGGGGTGGACGGCGGGACAAGACACGTGTCAGCGGACGTGCTGAGGAGGTGTGCCGGGTGGTCGGCACCGGGGTGGACAGGCGGGACAAGACACGTGTCAGCGGACGTGCTGAGGAGGTGTGCCGGGTGTCGGCACCGGGGTGGACAGGCGGGACAAGACACGTGTCAGCGGACGTGCTGAGAGGTGTGCCGGGGTCGGCACGGGGTGGACAGGTGGGACAAGACACGTGTCAGCGGACGTGCTGAAGAGGTGCGCCGGGCGGACGATCAGCTGCAACTATGGCTTAGACTGTGAAGGATATACCGCAACCATCGTGACACGCCACTACGCGAGACATCAAACACAAATTATGAATGCACCTAGTGCTGTTTTTGTTTTGCAAGCACGCATAGACAGGTCACCAGCAGCCGGTGCCGTCACCGGTCGCTTCACCTGGATGAAGAGGTAAGCGATGAACTGCAGGATGTCGACGTGTCGCTGACCGGCGAACTGGTCGCGCTCGACAGCACCCTCGCAGCGCCGTACTCGCCGTCCCACTGCAGCCGCTCGTCCGGCAGCCGCGGCGTCAGCAGCTCGAAAGTGTCGAAGTACAGCCGCGCCAGGCTCTCCGTCAGCTGCAGCTTGTTGCAGGCGATGTGCTTCCACAGACGTAGTAGAGTCGTGGGAAGTGGGCGGAGCCGCGGTGACGCGCGTACTGCACAATCTTACGCAGGGTACTTGACGGAGATCTTGTGCGTGGCGTTCACAGGCAGGATGCGTACACGAATGGTTCGGAGCGTACCCACAGGCGCGGGCTGCGCTCCGGCTCAGCGCCGTCCGCCATCGTCGCCACGGCGGGCGCGTAACGGACGAGCCACCAACTGTCCGTGCGTGTACGGCGGAGCGGCAGTAACCGTAACTTCGATGGACGTGGCAGGCTAAAAACACTCTGAAGATAGAAAGTTAGGCGAACTTAAGTCTTATATGTCTGGTAAATGCACCTATTTAGATGACCTAATTGGTGAAGTAAGGCGCGCTCTGACAGGCATTGTACTGCGCATGATATTTCAATAAAATTTTTGTGGGATTTCAGGCCCGAAACAAGCACGTCGCATAACTTCCCATGGTCTTTAAAAACAGTATAGAGGACGCATACTCCCCTCCTCAAAGGCGGATTTGGGGAAGGTATGTGTGTAGGGAGGACAGGACAACCGGAACATCCCCAAAATGATAATATTCAAGCACAATTTACCACCAAAATTTTGCTGCAGAGCACGTCTCAGATGCGAGCAAGTGAAACCCGCCGGATTGTAAGAACAATAAAACAACTTCTGATGTAGCCGCCGCCCCCCCCCCCCCTCCCGTCTTAAGCCGGCGTTACTATCTAGGCGGCTTTCTGGATCCGCCACTGATATTTTTAGACGTCGAAAATCATTACACCGCTCATTCGACATCTTTTTGTAATGATTAAGGGTTCTGGGTGCTACTGCGTTAGAAAAGTAGCTACACCTCCGCGTGCAATCTTGCTTGTTCAGGCGCATACAACGAGCCAGCTGCCATACGTGCCGGGAGGGGACAGCAAGAGGGGGGGGGGGGGGCGGGAGGGGGGGGGGGGGGGGGGGGGGGGGGGGGGGGATGGATAGAGGCGTGTTTCCTTAGCGGAAGACAGTGCAGAAGTGTTTCAAAAATCTTTGGAGACTCTTTTCGCCCAAACTGGAGGTTGTGTATGTAAATATATTCGGATCTACGAAGCCCCTATAGCTGAGGAACGGAGCATTAAACCAGGCTTAAAAGACTTTCCTGCATCAGGAGGCCCGTTTGGTCGACCAGAAGATTCCTTCACGGCTTAGGTGGCCCATGCTCTGGATCGGAAGGCCCTATGCCATGGTAAGGAGGCTCTTTGTTAGCTCGGGAGGCCTCCTTCATGAATTTAAGGCACATGTCTGGGGCACAGTTCTGGATTAGGAGGCATCTTATGCATCAGAAAGCCCACTAAACTGGAACAGGACATTTTGCATATCGTAAGGCCACTTCCAGATCAGGATACCAGAGGCCTTTTTAGTGGGTTGTAGGGATTTTTCCCCAGGTAAGGAGGTCCCTCTAAGGGACCTCCTTACCTGGGGAGGTCCCTTAGAGGTCCCGAGGTCCTCTTCCCAACAGGAGATCCTGTTTTGGGATGGAGTCTCTTTGCGGCTCTGGAGGTCGCCTGCATCTTTACGATACAGGCGACCTTTTTTTCTTTATGCTCCTTTTCTGGATATTTTAAGTGATGGCATCGAGTCGCATGGATCTTGATGCATGTAGCAATTTCATGAGGAAATGCTCTCCCCCTTGTATATAACACCGCCCAGGACAGCCGCCAGAGTTTTCTATACAACAAATCGGAGAGCACGCAATCACGTAAGCACGCAATCACATAGATCTTAAAATTTCTGTCATGAGACCCATGGCAAAAAATGAAATCTGGGCCCAAGAGGCCCTACCAGGCTGTGCCTGTGGCCCAGGACCAGGAAGGGCGTTCCTATGAGGAAGCACCATTGTCCAGAAAGCCTGCCCTAAAATGCCGCGGGGGGGGGG